CCAACTCAAATTCTATGATTCTATGATTCTATGATTCTATGATTTTATTTTGTTTCATATTACATCCCAGCCCATGATTTGCTGGGGCCTTTGTGACTTTATTAGGATTAAAGTACTTGCTCCTTGTGGTAGGTATTCTTAACTCTATTTTACACTGCCAGCCACACATGAGCTAGGCTGTCGGGCTCCTTGCCTTTTGGGATACCATGCTGACACGTCAGAGAGCACGTCACAACGTGATGCAGGCTTCAACACTGCCATGGCCAGTGTGGCTGCTGGTTTAGAGAGATGGTCCAGCCCTGGCAGAGCGATAACTGGTGGTGCACATCTCACGGTATCTTTTTCTGACAACCCATGTCAATACCATGATCTATCCAGAGACAGATGCACCGGGCCAATGGGGTGCTCTTTCAGGTCAACATCAAGGTAATGACAATGAGACTAAGCAGCTTAAAAACGTAGCCACCAAGCAATGACCCTGGCCTCTCTACCTGTCTTGCAAGCCACACGCACTACTATTCATTTCCACAGATACAAATTGTTAGTTGTGGAAATACTGGTGAAGTGTACCTGGTGAAAGACAAAAGGAGATCTCTGAAGACAGCAATTTATAAATGTCCTTAGAAAGCTGGCAGGACCTAGGTCTCCTGCTGGCAAATATTTAGGAGAAGATTCCAAGGGATTATCTTCAGCATCCTCATATTACATGTAATAGCAACCACAGAAATGTACTATTAAAATCTGGAAGTCCTTAAAACTGTATAAAAAAATTTCTAATAGATACTAACAGATACTAAGTACTCTGTCTTTGTAACAGTCTCAGGATATTATTATTATTATTATTATTATTATTATTATTATTATTATTATTATTATTATATTTCAGCTGTTACTGAGTATTCTGTAATGGCCAGGGACTTCACTGTGATCCGCTTAAGAGCTTGCCTAGAAAGCCACGGGTATCTAACTATGCTTCTCTGCTGTGTTTATGAACACGGGGATTGGACTGCACTCAATGGCAGATGTAGTTAGAGCTGCCACCGCTGAAATATGAATACGAAGAGCCTAGCACCTCTGAGAAATGGCTCCTACCAATGTACAGCTTAATCTGTATGTGCACAATAGCTCCAGCAGCAGCCCTATAGTTGCTCCTTTCTAGTCCAATCTACTGCAGGTCACAGTGCAAGGTTGATGGCTGTCCCCTGGCACTTTATCCTCCCACGCAGGGAAGAATGAACACTCAGCTCTGCCTGCTGCAATGCACCGGAGACTGTGCACTGATCTAATCTAGGGAGGTGAGGAGAGGAGAAAGACAAGGTTTCTATGCCAGCTGTTTGTCTGCCATAACTTATTTCCCCAGTGGAGCAAGAAAGAAGCAGGAGTCAAACAAAAATGTGACAATGAGTCACAATTTGGTCCTTATTTTGCTACTGAGAGCTGTACAACTACACATTTCCTCTGTCTCGGAGCAGGCTGCAAGGAGACAGGCTGGCCCCGAGGCCACACGCAGCTTGTCAGTGACAAAATCAAAATTAGCTTCTGGATTGCAGTCCTTTTCTCAGACTATTTGATAACTATGAAAAGTTTTAAGATGTAAACCATTTCAAAAGGCAGATTTAACAAGATCTGAATGCTTGAAGATTAATATACGTGAAACTGATAATGTATGAGAAATAACACACAAGAGCCGGAGGGTAAAACCATAACGACTTCACAAGTGTGACGGCCAGAAGCTAACAGCAGTCTCCAGTTGGCAAAAAGTTTAGCGAAGTCACACTACAGCCAAGAGGGAGACAGCTACTTCTCATGGTAATTCATGAGTTGCTGCTAGAGGTGCTAGTTGTGCCGACTGCAAAAGGGGCCTAGATGAATAAATTAGATTAGATGATTCATTTTGATGGCTAAAGGCATGTGAGGTGTTTCCTAGCCTTCAGTTAGACTGCTGTTTAAGGATTGAGTTAGGAGGTTTCTATAGAATTTTTTTGCAACAAGCGGATTTGCAAAATGAAAAGATGTCTTCTTTTTCTGGCTTTCAGTGTTGATGAGGAAGCAGACAGTATACCTTTTGCAGGAGGGTAAGGAAAATAGAATAATTTTGGCAATGGTTTTTTGAAGGAATCCGTCTGCTCTTGTTCAGAAGTACTGGGTAAAATCAACAGTCTAATTACCCGGAGAGACAAAATTCAGAAAACCCAGGACTGCCTGTAAAAAAGTAAGTCTTTGGGGGGAACAGAAGCTCCAAATTCTCACTGAAATTCCTTAAAACTTGGATTCCCCTGTGCCTGTGGGCCTGGACAACAGAGCTGGTTAGTTTGGCTGCAGCCTGGGTGCTTTCTCGTAGTCTATTGAGGCAAGCAAGCGTCAGGCCAAATTTGTTACCTCAAGTTTTAGGTTTAAGAATTTGTGGGCAATGTTACTCACAACTGGTATGGTATCTATGTATGTGCAGTTGGTACAGAGAAACCTTAACATATTGTTACCTTAGGTAGCCCTTTAGAAAGTCAGCTAGCTATGGACAGCAGGAAACCTTAAAACCTATAAACCAGAGGTTTAAGCTAATGCATTTTGTTGCTGGTCCATGACAGGCTAAAAGTGCGTGTGTGCAGTTAACTCGTGTTTACTCGTGTGCAAACAGCTGGA